GGAACAAGGAGGCATCAAGAAAAAGAAGTCTCCGTTGCATTCCTTCCCTATTTTTAGCCCCATTTCCTACGGAAATGAGATGTGTGCAATCAAGTCCTCTTCTTGCCTGATCCTCTCTAAGACCACTTTTAATACATTGCCTGATTCCAGGCAAATGAGGGAGAAGCCACAGAAAAAACCGTTTTCCTGTGAGCTGTGTGACAACAAATGGGAAAATTTCATGGAAAATCAAGTCTTGCACTTTGGAAGGCAGGAACTGGCTGGGGGAGTGCAGAGAAACAATTCCTGCTGCTCCAGGTTCCTGCTGTGCTCACCTCAGCTGCAGCACCTCGGCAGCACAGCAGTCACACTTGCCTTAATTCCAAGTGTGTTAACAGCACATGGATTTTTGGGGATGAGGGAACAGAGGGACAAGAAGGATGGAGTTAAAATGGAAGCACAGCTGCACTCATGCCACAGACTTCCAATGCCACCTTGGGAAAATCGGCTCCCTTCCCACCACCTCCAGGACCACTATGAGCTTCTAATCCAATACCAGCTGCTCCAGAAAAATGCACCCCTGGATTCTTTAGGAGGAGGAGGTCAGTGTGAGTCCCGGAGCTGGGGAGTTTGTGTCCCTGACAGCACAGCTGGGGGAAACTCCTGCTCCTCACGCACAGCTCTCCTTGGCGTGGTGGAAGCCACATGCGTGTTCCCACAGGAGCGCTCAGCGCCACATCCCACGTTTGCCAGGGAATATTTGGCTGGGTGACAGTGGAAACAGGACTTTATCAGCAGTGATCGCTGAATAATCCACCTCCGGTGCTCCGCAGCAGAGCCAGGTGGGAAAGGTGCAGGAGATATTGTGTCCTGGTGAAATATTTGTGGTCAGGCTATTCCATACTTGCCGGTCCTTCGAGACACGGAGTCTGCTCTGGGAACCAGGCCAGAGGCTCCCATGAATCACAGCCCTGCAAACAGAAAATCAGCTGAAATGAAAAGCTGGCCTAAAGCAAAGAGCCAAATCCCCTTGGGCCGTAGCCTCGGATCGGGGGGATCCCGTTCCACGGTTCAAACCACTTGCAGCTGTTTTGAGAGCTGCCCAGAAACTGAACTCTGAAGCTTCTGAAACTGGGCAATGGTGTTTTTTTTACTTAGGAAAGGAAGATGAAGTAACACCAGTCCCTCCTCTTTCCATGAGGTGATCCAAAGACATGGAATGCCAACAGATCCATGCAGGAGCCAACTCCGGTTCAAAAATGACTGAGGTATCTCAAACTTTGGTTCCCCAAGGTTTAGCTCCTCTCCCAAGCCTCCATTTGAAGAGCTCAAACCCTTTTCCAGCTCACCCACCCCATTTAATTGCCACTCATTAATTACTGCACAAATGTTCCCATGTGCAGCTCCGCCAGGGAATGCTCTCCAAGGGTACAACCAAAGCCACACTGCCCTGTCCATAAACATATTTTGGGTTGCTGCAGCAAACCCAGCATTGCCCAGGGTCCTCCCAGCCTTCAGCCCCTCACCTTCCTTGATTCAACTCTGTTCCTTCTGACACCATTCCTGCTGTGAAACCTCTGCATTCGCATCCAGGACAAAGCACAGGGACACAGGTCCCAGTTGCTTCTCCATTTGCTATAAATAGGGAGAGGGAAAACAGATGAAAGGCCCAGTGTCCAGGTGTGCCGGCCACGGCTGGACTTCTCCCTGTGGGATTCACATCAACACGGACCCAGTGGGTACATGTTCCCTTTCTTTTCTTTAATAAAAGGCTGTTTTTTAGGTCATGGGAGATAATATAGCCTCTAGTGCAAGAGAAACCCAACCAACAGAGTTTCCTGATGTCCTGTTCCTGTCTGCTGCTGAAGCGGATTCCGACACGCGGCCGGATCACGCTGAGAAAACAAATCTGGCTCCACGTCAGAGCTCAAAGGCTCCCTCCCAGAGCTGTGAGGGATAAAAAACACAGGGAAGGGGCAAATTAACAACATTTCCCTCCCGCCCCAGGGCCTGAACAACATGTCCCGAGAGCTTTCCGAGCTGCTTTGCCACTGGATGAACGCCGGCAGCTGGTGGGCTGGCAGAGCCCGTGATCCAAATGTCCTGACGGAGCTGCTAAATCCCTCTGCTGCCCCGTGGGTTCCAAGGAGAGTGTCCTGCACTTTGTTTTCCCGCAGGAGCTGGCTGTTGGGAAGGAGGACACTGGCACAGACCCCGCCTGTCAGGCTCCATCAGACTCCACAAACAGCTCCTCACGGCGGGAAGCTTCCCGCTGCAGGAATGGCTTTGCTTGGGAAGCTGATTTTAGAACACAGCGCGCTGTGCTGAGGGAAGGAAGACAAATCCCATCGTGGAAGTAATAACTTGAACCTCCAGAAACGCTGCAAAAAGCGATCCTGTGGGATGATGACCAGGATGGGGCTGTTCTACCTTCAATCACAAGAAGGGTTTTATGTGAAACACAAGTCCTAGCCCTGCGAAGCTGCAACATCCAGAGCATTGGAGGGGTTTGGAACAGGACCAGCCTTTGAAATGATGGAAATCTCGCTCCAAAGAGACTCCTAAAAGCAGCTGGAGCTAAGGGGGAGGGAAAAACCTGGAGCCACAAATAAATTCCGGTGCCATACGCCACTCTTGAAAGGGCAGAGGAGGAGGTCAGGGCTGGGCTTAGTGCACACAGAAATTAGGGATTCAACCTCTCCCGGAGAGGGGAGGACAAGGAGGGATCTCGGGGGACACACCTGGGATCCAGGGAGATCCAGGGATCTGCTTGGTGCCCCTGCCCAAAGCAAGGGATGCCATGGGCAGCCGAGAGAGCAGCAACGGCACCTCCTGAATCATTCCCGACAGCTATTCCCGAGCAAACCTTGCAGCTGGCAAGAAAACAACGCTTCCTTATGATGGGAAATGTCAGGGCTGCGGAGCCAGCTGTCCTGCTGCCGCGGAGCTCTGCCGGCATTCTTGGAAAGCACAGCAGGAGCAGCACAGGCAGCGGCTTTGTGGCCAGCGGGCAGGGATCAGCACTGGAATTCACTCCCAGTTCCCAGCACATGCCCTCTGCTCCAGCTCTCCAGCCTCCCTCCCGGGGGGGACAGACGCCACAGGGGTGGCCGGAGCCCAGGCCTGCTTCTTGTCTGACCCACGTGGATCTTCAGCTCCGGGCAAAGCATCTCAAATTCCACCCGCATCTGTTTTGTCCTGGCAGATAAATTTCCACCCTGAATCAGTAGTTCAGGAAAAAAAAAAAAAAAAAAAATCCCAAACCTGTTTTGTTGAGAAATTCCTGCTCTTAAACTATTTCAGTGTTATTTAGCAGCAGGAAGGGTGACAAGGATCACCCCCCCGACACATGGAGCCCCATGGGGACCTGTGACTTCATCCCCGGGAGCTGGGCATTCCTGCTTCCACTTGGAATGACAAAAAGCTTTAGATTTAAATTCTTCTGAAGAAAACATTAAAATAATCCCTTTTTACCTCGGTCTGAATAAATAATTCCAACAAAACGTGCCTATTTTGCATTATAAACTTTTCAAACTAAAAACTTCCTGATACCGGTTGGATTTTTCCCTTCCTGAATTTTTGTCCCCCTCAAAATGCCGTGAAACCACCCAAATTTTGTGCAGTATCTCACTTGGATCAGAACTACATTCCCAAGGGCTTTTTGGGGGAATCAGACTTACAGAACTTAAGCCCTTTGCTTTTCCTTTGACTCCACAGCAGCCTCTGCCCTCTGTATTGCTGAGCCCTCAATCTCGTGTTATTTCCAAGTGTTTCTTCCTATTTGGGAAGGACAGAACATTCCTGCTACATCCCCTTAAAGCCAAGACATGCTGTTTCTTAGCCCCAGAACTCAAACACAGAGGGACTGAGGGTTTCCAGTCCAATTCCTTCGGCTGGCAACGCCAATTCTGCTGTGGACCAGGAACAGCCTGCATCCGGAGGCTGTGGTCCCTGTGCCAGCCCACAGCACACTCTGCCTGCTGCTGGGATCTGCTGGTCCCAGCGTGGAACTGCAATCACCTGTGGGAGAAGGGGAACAGGTGGAAGATGATTTTTGGGGGAGCCTCCCCACCCTTTCTGTTTGGAAGAGATTGAGAACAAGGATGCGATGATCCAAGCTGTCCCTGCCTCCACGTTCCATCAGCTGCTAAAAGCTCTGTGTTCAACCTCAGCAGCAGGGAGAGAACAGCATCCCCAAGGGCTGTTTGTGCCAGAGGATCTGAAATGTGAAGGGCTGAGTCCACCCCTGCAGATCCAGATGTCTCCAGTGGCTGAAGAAGCAGCTTGACCCAGGCACAGCTGAATCCTTCTCCAGCTGAAGGCGAGATGCAGCCATAGGCACCACAGTGGTGCCTGAAGGGATCTCCCAAAGGAATTGTGAGATTGGACAGCCAGGGCCAGCTCCAGATGGAGCAAAATAAAAAAAAAACATTTCCCTCAGCACAGGGTTGTGGCGACCTTTGTCCCAGGAGGAGCCACGGTGGGAGTGCAAAAGGGCACTCAAACATGGTTTTACTCCCAGTTTGAAGCAAGGTATTCCCTAGGGAATACAAGGTGAGCAGGGCCTGTTATCCCTTCCCATGGTGGCTACCGAGAACCCCACAGTACAAGAGACTCCAGGAAACTTCAGGAAACCTGCTTCCTGGTGGATATCCAGCCTGGAAACACCAGCAGGCCTCAGCTGAATCCCCCTGGCCTTGTATGGGCTGCTCAGGAAAGGACAGTGCTCAACGTGCAGCCACAGAAGAGAGAAAAGAACAGGATCTAGACATGGAATACACTCAGCAGGGCAAAACTCAACTCTGAAATAGGCACAAAATCCCTCCTGAGCCACCAGTGTCTCATTTCGATGGTGTTACACACACACACACAGATTTATTGCTGCTCACCTTCAAGAGGGGAATTTTTCAGCTCCACTTCCCAGGGCTAATCGTTAAGAAGGATTTTCACCTCTTGGCATGATCTGGGAGCAGATTTGAGACCCTGCAGTCACCTGGTTTCACTGCTCTGTTAAGTCCCACAGGCTGAGGGCCATGCTGTATCCCAGGATATCCCCTGGAGCCACACATTGCCAGGAATTACATGATCAGAATTCCTGAATTCATAAAGTTCAGGGAGGTGCAGAGGCAAAAATATCCATTAAGCACAAAAAGGCTGGAGAGCCAGCAATGGATCCTGGGTGGTTTAAAACCCCTGGCAAATAAACACCAGCAAGGCTGAAGCAACAGTTTAAAAAATATTTCATTATTTTAAAAAGAAAGCACATAGAGATTTCCATTTCCCACCACAGCAACAAGTCCAGAACTTTCCAGTGCCGAGGCAGTTTTATTTCCACAATTGCCTGGAGCAACAAAGATTCCCAGGCACACCCCCCAGTCAGGACAAGCAGGGGTAGATTTCGATGGTGTTGATCCGCAGGACGGTCTGGGGGTTTGCAATGACTGAAAAAGAAGGGTGGAAAAAAAAAAAAAAGGATCAGGTAACAGCATAAACCTGGTTCCTACCTCATGCCAGGGCTCCTGGAGGGCTGTGCTGGCAGACAGCAGCATTCCATGGGGATGCCAAGGACAGCAGAGTGTCACTGGGGCAGCCTGGTCAAGGCTTTACCATCCATCCCATATAAAAACAGCCATAATTCTTCCCTCTCTCAGAGAAGGAAATGTGGCAACCAAAACCTGTGTGGGACCCTGTTCGGGCTTGCTGGGAGCTGTGATGACACATCCAACGTTTAAGCTTTTGGGAAGAGACTGGGATTGCTTTCCTGCTCAGGAAGTTCAGGGAACACTGAGGGAATCCTGGTGCTCTGTGGGCACACATGGGAGAGGAGCTGGTCCCTGAGGGGCTCTGGGGACACAGAGAATGAGCCCCTGCCTCAGGTCCTTGTGCTGGGATCCCCTCCCACATCCAGCAGGGAAGGAAATGTGTCCTTTCCCTCTTACTTTTCTTCCTCTGGTAGTTGTGCCTCCTCCAGAAGCGCAGGTTGACTTTGGGCCACGACTCCGTCTTCTCAATCACCGTGGCCTCCACACGGACCAGGTCCTTCCTTAAAAATGAGTGTGAGAAGCACCAGGCTTTAGTTATTTACCTCCTACTCTGGGCAGCAGGTTCCTGGGAGAAGAGACAAAGGGATAACACATCCTGCCTGACAGTGCCAGATCCCAGGAATTACAGATCCTCCATGGGAGGAGGGCCACCTGCCCAGGCACAGCCAAAAGCCTCCAGGTGCTGTACCTGGATCAGGAGATGTGACAGGTCACAACTTCCCTGTCACGTCAGGGATGAGATCGTCCCATCACAGCAGGCAGGAGAGACAGGGACCTGCAGGAACTCGTAGGATTGCGGCAAGACAAATTCCCCTGGCACCTCCAGGTGATCTCACGTGCCCTGTTTTGGTTTTGGCACAGGATGAGCCCATCCCTGCCCCTGGTCACCTTTCTCCTCCCATCCTGCTCCCCACACAAGTCCTTCCTCCTCCTCTAAAGCATCAGAGACAGCTGGAAGAAAAATCTCACCTTGTTGTAAACATGCAATTTTCCCAATAATTTTCCAATTAATTGTTTAAATGAGCCATAAGCAATTTTCCACTGTAGCCAGCATTTAGCAAGGCTTGCCAGAAGCTGCTGCTGTGGGAACACAACTTTTGGGAAAATTACAGAAACTAAGTTTTGCTAAAACAACTGTAATCAACCTTGACATGCCTCAAGGGTCTCGGAAGGTGAGAACCCCCAGGCAGGACCCAGACTGGAGCTTTGGACAGGGGGGTTTTAGTCAGCAGCCACAGGGAAGGAGGAGGAGCTGCTCTTCCATGCACAGCACTGCAGAATTCCATTAAAAGCTCGTTAAGTTTGCCACAGGAAGACATTTAAAGACCATTTTGCTGACAAACGGCTCTGTCTGCACTTGAGGGGGGAAGAGGGGGAAGCCCATCCAGCTGAAATTGTTCCAGCAAGGTCACGGGGAGGCCAAAGGCTTCAGACAGCCACCATCTCTTAAAATCCACCCTGGGGGTGTGATTAAATCAAACACTGCATACTGGAGGAAACTGATTTATCTGCAGTTAGTGACCAGCACAGAAGAAAAGGGACATAAAATAATACAGATTTTAAGAGACCACCGTGTGACCCTGACATCCCAGCTCCAGGACTTGCTCCAGATCCAGCACTACTGAACCACACACAAATCCTGAAACCCTGAGGGAGAATCCAGAAAGCAAACTGCACTCCAGCCGCGGTTTACCACTAATTTGGGACCAAACTTCCTGGATTTAAGGTCCTGATGAGTTTCTCTGTGGGACTCAGCTCTAGGAACTGCTGGCGGGAGGCTGAAGCACAACAGAAACCAACTTTCTGGAGAAGAGCTCGTGGGCAGGACAAGTTCTCAGCAAAACAGAGCCCAAGGAAAAAAATAAAAATCTCTATCAAACGTTTTAGGTATGACTGGAATGTCCATAAAAATAAGAAGGGGGTCACACATTTCCCACAGCTGGGCCTGCTGCCTTCAGCAGCAAAATGTTCCACGGATTGGATTTTTGCAGGAGTTGAGAAAAACTCAGCCTGCAATCCCATGGATCTGAGCTGGGCTGAAAGATGCTGTCAAGAGGCAGAGAAAAAGATGCAGGCAGGCTACAAGCCCACAGGATCATAACTCTTGGAGGTCATAACTCCAGCTGCCAAGCCGGCTCCCCGCAGGACTGAATCCCAGCCCAGCTGTCTGGGACAAGAACAGGTCCAAAGCCTTTGGCACTTCCACTGCAAAAAGGGGCAGGTAGCAGAAGAAACAGCGAGGTTTCCTAGAGGGAAAATTCCCACCAGCTCCATTTTGTCTAGAAATAAGCCAAACTTTCCCTCCACTCATGCCTAATGCAGGCTCCAGCCCTCGTGCCAGCCGGGGCTGGCGGTGACTTGGACAAACACGGAGCCCAACAGATTCCAGAGCAGGAGCCAGTCACAAGCTCCCAGAATAGCCTCCACCACGCAGATGGCGTGTTTTAGGATTTAAAGAAGTGTCATGCCAGGAGGTATCAGAGGAACAAGCCCTGTCCAGCTGTCCCAAGCAGGACAGGTTTGGGAGCTGACAGGAAGCGGCTCCAGTGAAGTGTCTCAGGCTGCGAGCACTCACTGGGTGTTTATTTACGCGGGAACAGGAACACAGAACTGCCTCTCTTCTCATCCAGCCTCTTCCCTCCTCCCCAAAATGTCTGTGGGGTAGGGGACTGTGAGAGAGAACTGCAGTGCACATTGCTGTGGTGACACCCTTCTTCTCTTCCCCCTTCTCCTTTTCCTCATCCTGTACCGGAGAGCTGGGATTTGGGTGGTTTCCCTGCAGCTCAGAGGGTGATGGCATCTCCCCCTCAGCCTTCACTCTTCCTGGCCAGCCTCTTCCTCCTCCCACTGATTCCCTTCAGCCAAAGGCCCTGGAGGCCAGGCCAGATGTACTGCCTGGCCTGCCTCAAGCAGCTGCCAACACTTCCCACACCCTCAGAGCACCTGCAGGAGTCAACAGCTGGTTTTCTTCCTGTCCTGGAGCTCCTGGCTATCCCCATGCCAAACCCAGCACAGAGAGCTGCAAAGAACCACCCCAGGGCCCCTGGATCAGCTGGGGAAGGAAGCTGCTCCTCACCTGCCTGACATGGCACACCCCAAAACTAAAAGCCCCTTTCTAGTCCTAAAAATGAGATTTCCCTTCCTAAAACCTTCCCCAAGGGCAATATCTGTCAGCAGCTCAGAATCCTGATGATCTGCTATTCCAGATCCACTTCCAGTGCTGTTACAAGGACTGGCAGCTCCCAAAATCCTGTCCAACACAGGGACCCGAGTACCTGGTACCACCAGTGCCTCTCAAGCCATGTTGTCAGTGCACAAATAACTCCTAAATGCCACCAGCAGTAACACCTGCTCCACACCCCCCTTCCTTTTGGGAAGGAAAAGGCTGAGGAACCTGGGGTTCTGTACAGCAAGTCCTACAGCATTGGGATGGAGGCAGTGCCAAGGGATAAACTTCTCCCAAGTTCTGTGGCTGCTGGACCACAAGAGGAAGGGAAAAATTAGGAACACCGAAATTAGGGTTAAGGCTTGCTGGGGTAAGACAATGGCAAAAGCAAAGGGGTTAAAAAGCCCAACTCAAGGGACTAAGGAGAAGGATTTCTGGCTTATTTCAAGATGACTACCACCAACTTCAGGGTAAGAGGGAAGAGATGTTGAAGTGCAACATGTTCTGCTAGCTTGTGCAAGGAGGAAAAGATCCAGCTGAGGTGAATATCCAAGAGCTACCTCAGAACTGAGACCTGCTGCTCTCCCGGCACTGGGGTGGGCGAGAGTCACCAGAGGCTGATGAGCTGTTTTATTGGTGATTCTTTCAAAAGCCATGGGGCTGGGATCAAAGTTAGTGCTGATAAATCCCAGTTTCAGGGACTGCAGAGCCCTGAAGCCACAATTAAGTACAAAAATGTCATATAATTCCTTTATGAAGCATCTCACCCCAGCAGCGGCCTTCCAATGAGCGTGAAGTCGTCAGCACCAACCAGCAAAACCTGGGGGAAATAAATCAGGCACAAATCACTGCTCATTGTCCTGGCAGAAATGCAAACAAGACCTTTCAGATTCTACAGCCGTAAAGGAGTCAAATTGCTTCAAACCAGGCCTTCCCACATTTCAAACCTGACACTAACTGGAGGGGTAGTGGAGAAAGCTGCTAACAGGCTGGAGACAGAGCCATTACTCTTCCAGAGAGCTCATCCCACTAAAACAGACTGCAGAAGTATCTTTCTCCATGATCAGAACACACTGAACCTCCCTGTCCTGGCTTACCAGCAGCTGAAAAAAAATATGGAAAGCAATCAGGGATGAATAACCTGCCTCGTGTGGGATCAGGACAAATGTCAGCTCCTAAACCGCTGGATTTTTTACAGCAATTGCTACAAATCAATTTGTAGCAAATTGCTACAAAAGTGGAGAAGCAATTCCCTCATTCTCCTCTGTAAGGCCTCAAGATGGGAAATGAAGAAATTAACATCTGGGGGCTCACCAGCCCCTGCTGTTTTGGGGCATTTCAGCCACATCTAAAGGAACAGGCAGGATAAGAGAGGATACAATAGGAAGAGGCTGCATTTCACTGAATCGAGTTTGGAAGAGACCTTCAGGGTCATGGAGTCCAACCATCAAACCCAGCACTATCATAATCTTCCCTAAACCATGTCCCCCAAGTGCCACATCCAGAGCCACTTCTCCCAGGGCTCCCTCACAAACCCTCTGGCAGCACTTAAAACCCACACAGAAATGGTCATGAGAAGTCCTGGCTTTTGTTTTAGACAGGAAAAATCCCCTACAGGGCTCTGGTGTTCAGGCAAATTTTCTCCTTCACTCCCATCTAGACTTTTGCATTGTGAACTGGCTACACCACAGAAATCCCTCCTCTCTGCTGGACACAGGGATGTGGGACACAGCTGAGGACATCCCTAAAAAGCTGCTTCAAAACTGGGCTTCAAAGCAATGGACGAGCACAAAAACACCGCAGCTCTCCTTAATTACTCTAACAACCAACACGAAGGTGAAGCCAACAGAATCCTGCTCCGTAATATTCCCCTTCAGTCTGGATTAATGAGCCTCTGCAAGTCCCTGCTGGTTGCCCAAAGCTGAGGATAAAGATATTAATTGGATCTTGGCAATCCTCCCCTCCGTGCCCCATCCCTCTGCCTCCACCCGGCCCAGCACGATAAGGATCTTGCAGAGCCCTGAGGAGTTTACAATCCCTCTGGGAGACCTGCAAGGAATTAAGAGGTTGGACTCGATGATCTTAGAGGTCTTTTCCAGCCTAAATGATTCTGTGATCCAGGGTGCTGGAGTCTCAAGGCAAACACAGGCGTTCGCTGCCGGCTCTGGAAACAACAACTGTCATTTTCTTTTTTTGGAAGGAGTTAGGACAACAAAAATCTGTCTCCCCACAGAGTCTGGCAAGACTCACTCCAGCCCTGTTGAACAGAAATCACTGTAATATCTGAAACTGGAACAAAACTAAGGGAATTGGAACAAAGCAAGGGCCTGGAATGAAGGTGGGAGACCCCCAGCAGCACTTTGGGATGTGGTGTTAAAACTGGTGATGGGTTTTGCCTCCAGGAACGTTTGCAGGGAATCTGCTCTGTGTTTTTCACCTTTTCCATCCGGATTCGATCCCCACACTCAGCCTCCAGGACATTGTCCATCATGATCAGGTCTTCATTGGTGATTTTCCACTGCTTGCTGGCGAAGTGGACGACGGCGAAGAGCCGCCCGTATTGCCCCGCGGAGATCAGCCCGTTCACCTTCCGCACCACTTCTGCTGGCAAACAGCAGGGCAGGGATCAGGGCAGCACACCCAGGGAGCTGGGAAGGGCTGGGAAAACTCACCCAGTCACCCTGCTCTCCCCCCCATCCACCCCCAGCACTCTTATCTGCTGGGAATCTTTAAGCAAGGATCAACAGCAGTGTTGCTTCCCAGACGTGTGAGCCTCCTTTTCTTAAAATTAATGATTTATTTGTATTTTAGGTGCTGGCAAAGCCACACATAAGTAAACATCTTGTATACACTGTGCAGCTTCTCTACACTGCTGACTCTCTGTCCATTCCTCAGGCATCCCAAAATACACTGTACTTGGATATAAAGCATTCCAGAAAAGAGCTCTTGTCCGTGCGTCCTGTATCTGGAGGAAATTCCCTCCATTTCCATTTCATATGCAAACAGCCCAGGACTCTGAGTGGTGCCTAAGGCACACAGGAACGTCTGGAATAGCTTGGCAAAGTACCAGGGAAGAGGCTTCCAGCACAGGGCAAAGCCTGGCCTGAGAACTTGTACCTGCAGCAAGGACAAGAGAGTCCTGTGCCTCGCTCTTTCCCAGAAAAACCTCTTCCCACGTGCATGCAGAGTGGTGCCAGGAGCAGAAAAGATCCCAGAGACCAGGTCCTGCACATGGACAAACTCCATTCCCTGTGATCAGCTTCCTGGGCAGTGAATCCAACCCCAGTTTTCATGGGAACACCAAAAGGCGTTGCTCCCTGACACCATCCCACTGCCAAACAGCAGCTTCCCACCCTCCTGAGCCACTGAGAAAAACACATTGTCCTGAACAGTGGCTGAATAATTTTTGGTTTTTCCCTTGGAATGCAAACAGAACATCCCTTTGGGACAGATGGGAATCCAGCAGCCAAGCAAACCCAACCCAATCCTTACAGGAACGCTCGGAAAAGGTCCAAGCTTCAAGCCCTAGGATACAAACTTAAAGGTAGAGGTAGGAACACAAATTATTTGCAGGGCAGGAGCTGCTGCAGTTCCCACCAGGATAAAGCGCTGTTGATGACTCTTCCAACACCTCCAGCGCCAGGAAACATCAAGTGACTGCTGGCTTGGATCTCAGCACCATGTGGAGAGACCCATCCTAAAATATCCGGGGCTGCTTCCACGGCCAGCAGGAGATGGGAGGCAGAACTGAAATGCTCCCGCTGCTGTTCCCTTTGGATGAGCACAGCCAGGAGATAACGATTCAATGCTCAGCAGCAGCAGGAGGGAATGGGATGGGAGCAGGATGGGATCAATCCCTGAGGATGAGACCTGCTCCCCACAGAGCTCACACGGAGCAGTTTGTGGTTCACCGCTGGGTTATTTCGCACACAGGGACAGCACCCATCTGTCACTTGAGCCATCCCAGGAGCACGGAGCAGATAAAAAGCAGGATCAAAACGGCCCAGGAGGAGACACGGAGCAGGAGGCTCTCTCCAAAGCACATCCCTCAGTCAGGGACACGCTCCAGCCATGTGATGGGGAGATCTGCAGGAAGGTCAGCTCAGCTCATCAGCCTTGTCACCCAGCCCTGAGCACTGAGGGCCACGTCTGGTCATTCCTTGGACACCCCCAGGGGTGGGGACCCCAACACCTCCCTGGGCAGCCCCTTCCAGTGGCTGATAGCCCTTTCCAAGAAGAAATTCCTCCTGGTGTCCAACTTGACTCTTCCCTGGCACAGCTTGAGGCCATCTCCTCTCCCCCAGCAGTCCTGACAAGCTGGGGGGACAGGGACACGACCACCAACGTTCTGTCACGCTGTGTCCCACCTCTGCAGGTCTGTGCCCACCATCCAACTGCTCCTTCTGGCTGGATGTTCTGTTTTATGCACCAAAATACACCAGCTCTCCGTGTGCCCACCATCCAACTGCTCCTGCTGGCTTTGATTTAGCCAGTGAACGGAAAAGAACTCGTTTCTCCTGCCCAAAATGCTTTTCTATTCTTTAATTTTTTTTAATATAGTGTTTCATGTCACACATCACATCAGGTAAGGCTCCTCTGGAAGCGTGGCAAGCTGGATAAGCTAAAGAGAAATCATATTGTACCCAAATGTCCCAAACCTGGAGAGCAGCTGGAGCACAATTCCAGCAACACTAAAACACGTGATAAATGAAAAAAAAAAAAAAGTGAAGGACATAAACTTCCAGCAGAAGACATTTATGCTCAATCAGACCTCGAGGCAATGCTGGAAGACCAGATTTGAGACTTTTACCTGCATGATACTTGGCTTCTTCCACAGGATCTGGAAGTTTCACTTCAGGCCACGGGGGCGAAGTCAGGGAAGTTTTGGCAACAAGTCTGTGAAGGACAAGGTAAAACTCACTGCAGCAAACAGATACTGCCAAGAGATGGAAAACAGGGAGAGGAAAGAAGGAAAAAGGAGATGGAGTAGAATGGATATTACTCACAAAAGGCAGCAGATTACAGTTAACAATTAGGCAAGAATCTGCAATAGCACAAAACCAATCTTAGATATAAAGAGGAGGGAGATTTCTCTTGGAAAACTCCATGAGATGAACACAAAGATCATGATTTCTGAAATCTGAAAATGTAGTAGATTTTGTAAATCCCATCCCAAAATAAAAAGTAAATGCCATCCCCCTCAGGAGTGAGCAGTTCAGGTTTTCCTGCACAGAAATCCACACTTTGCCTAAATAACACAGGAGGCACCAAATGCATAAAATATTCAGGAATAAACATGAGATGCAGTGGAGAAAGCAAAATTGACTCCAAATTCTTTGCAATGATCAATTTACTCTGTAACCCCGAGCCAAACTTCCCAAAGGGCTTTAATTTAACAGGAACTGCAAGTACCTGTGAGTACATGACCACAGGCTCCGAGGCCTCACGGGCTTTAGTGAGGATTTTGGGTGCTGCATCACCCAGGCAGAGATCCAAGGATCTCTGATCCTTGAGGATGAGCAGGAAGAGGGAACAGTACATCCTGCCATTCTCCCAGCAGGAATTCCCTGCTCCTGCAGTGTCCCCTCCTGGTCACAGCCAGCAGCAGCTCAGTCCTGCGGGAGATCCCGGCACAGGGAATGGAGTAAAGGCACAACAAGCAGCTCCCAAAGTGCTGGAAAAAGCGACGCCTGAAGGTCCTACTGGAAGAGGTATTACAGGATTCCAGAAGGGTTTGGCTTGGAAGGGATGTTAAAGCTCATCCAGTCACAACCCAAGGCAGGGACACCTTCCACCAGACCAGGCTGCTCCAAGCCCTCTTCAACCAGGCTTTGAACATTCCCAGGGTTGGGACAAATAAAAAAAATTGAAAAAAAAAAAGAATGAGGGGAAGCATCTTTCTGGAAAAGGTGACAGAAGGCAGACAGAGTCCAAAACATTGGGAAGCGACAGAGTGACCAAGGGGCAGCCAAGTCTCCTTCCCAGAGGAAAACCAGCTGCTCTCCCCACCCTGCAGGCCAGCATTCCAGGGGGGAAGAGGCAAAATGATGCGTGACATTACCCTGACTGTGGGGATGAGCTCTGGGAACTCCGGTGCCGGACCACAGCCGAAAGCAGGGAGGCTGGAAGGGAGAAAAAAGAGAATTAAACACAGGCAGCAGCTGCTGGGCCTTTGCGGAATTCCAGAATTATCCAGACTGGAAAAGTCCTCCCAGACCATGGAGGCCAACCCGTGACTGGTCACCACTTTGTCACCCAGCCCCGAGCACTGAGTGCCACATCCAAGCTGGGGACACCTCCAGGGATGGGGAATCCACCACCTCCCTGGGCAGCCCCAAGATTGATGAAGTCTCTTCTCCCTCCCAGCCCTTGGATTTTGCTGAAGGGTCTATGCCAAGGTGGAAAGAACTGTGTAAAGCTGATTCTCCTCTTTTGTTAACATTCCCCAGCTTTCAGGCAGCTCCGAGGCGGATGCTGGGAATGACCCGAATCCCTTCCACCTCCGCCCAGGGAAGAGCTCCAGAGCTCAGAGGGGTCAGGAGACAGCGGTAGAGACCCCGACCTACTGTCAGCCTCCTTCCTTCCCTCCCTCCCTCCTTCCATCCCAGCAGCTGGCAGAGCTCCCTGCTTCACTCTCTCCTTCCCTCCTTCCATCCCAGCAGCAGCAACAGACCAGTCCATCCATTCCAGCAGCAACCACAGCTCCTTCCTTTCCTTTCCTTCCCTCCCCACCTTTCAGCCGCAGGCAGAGCATCTTCCTCCCT